GCCCGCATCCCTCTTCTGTTCTGAAATATGATTTGTCCTTTTCATATGTGTTCATTTTTTTTTTAATTGTATCCTTTGGTATATATGGCTGTGACTATTTTCTTCCACTATTTGATCTGAGGAAGTGGGTCTGGCCCATGAAAGCTCATCATCTAATAAACCATCTTGTTAGTCTTTAAAGTGCTACATAGTCCTGTATTTTGTTTCAGCTACACCAGACTAACACGGCTACATTTCTAACAAAACTAAGTTCTCTCTTACCAAGTCTTCAGGACAGGAGTACTGTAATTCAACTAATCCACCAGTAAGGTCCTTATCTCAGAATCTGCTTCAGCTCCCCAACTTAAATCTATGAACAAAGCCTCGAATTAAGCTCCAGCAGAGGGGCCAATCTGAGAGAAAATAGCGAACACCTGCTGTTGTTTGCACAGTTCTTCCTTCTCTCTTGCTTAGTTTTTCTGTTTATACAGCCCATCCTTAGGGTAGAGCAAGGTCTCTGATTATACTCCAGGCTGTCCCTTAAAGGGATATTACCTCCTTCACAATGATACTATTCTCGTGTGGGACATCATCACCAATCTATTCGCTGTTTTGTTTCAGAAAGCCCAAGAAGGTTGCATAGATTTGGACAAAACATGTCCCTTAAATTTCTTGATTGTGATTCTTCAGCTAATTGTCCACTATGGTTGACAATCATTTACTTGCTTTAGTATGGTGCAGAGAACCTGAAATGTGTCCATATTATGTTGCCTTTCCTTGATTGCCCAGATACTCATGAACCTTTTATGGTTTCAGTTATAACAATACATTTCAAGTACTTAACTTCCACAGTACAGGTGTGACATAAACCTCTGCCAGCCATGTAAGGCCATTGTGCCAACAGGGAGATCCACTCCTCTGCAAGGCAGCTAAGGACCTTGGGCTTTTATCCACCTCTCCCATGGTTCTGACCATTGTTTTGTGGGTGGCTATGAATCTGAGTCCCCCCTCTGTGTTGTACTGATGACAATTAGATTCTAGGTCAGTAGAGCTGCTAACATACTCCTGGTCCCTATTTGATTTATCAACTTGAGATGCAGGGCTCATCTTCTCTCACATGCCTGCTGTATGACTATAGGATGCACTTGTCTACCTGAATGAAAGAGGTGACGTGATGGTGTTTAATAAGTGGTAGGCTTCTCTTTATTGTAAAATGGAAACATTCCCATTTTAAAACTTTAATTTAAACTCTAGAGCATCCTGGAATCCCCCTCTAATTTTCTCTTGGAAGTGCTGGCAGAAAGGCAAGCTCTGATGATGTTTTGGTATAAGAAGGCCCCCATGTGTAATTATGTATTTTAAGCTGTTTCTTTTATGGCACTGTTTTATGTGATTTGGATCCCACCCTGTTCCCTGGAGACTAGCAACTGGAGAATCTCCAGAAAAGGTGAACTTGCCCTTTGGGTACATTGCTGAGTCAGCCTGGCTTCAAACTCAGCACAGCCTGCTCTGCAGAGCGACATGTTTTTTAAATAAGCGGGGGGGCGGGAAGGGGTGCATGTTGGAATGGAACAGTTTCTGGAAGGCATTTGGGGGAGGAATGATGACCCTCACTCACCTATGAGGAGATAGTGGGGTTAATGGGAAGCAGAGTGTATGTGAAAAGTGAGGGGACATGGACACAATCTGAAGGACAATAGCTAGGGACATCCTATTTGTAAGAATCTTCTATTCTTGTTTGACAGTTGATTATAATTATTTTCTTGCCATGACTAGATCCCCACCTCCTGAGAGAAATTCTGGAGAAGGACAAGGGGGAGGAGCTCTCTACCACTTCCTCCCTGCCTGTGGTCCTGGGGGTAAGGCCCACTGTGAAACTTGGCTGATTCCCAGGACACTTATGGGTGCTCTGAACCACGCAGCTCCAGCTTCTCCCTAGCCGATCTTACTCCAGGTATCCGCACCGAAGAGAAGTCTTTGGAGCATCTAATACAGCCCCAGGCTCTGGAGCCTTCACTGGACACATTTGTAGGGCTGGAATAGTGAGTGTTTGTGCTTTTGCCTTGGGACTTTTGTTAGGGGGGAAGATTGAGGCTGAAAGGAAGAGTAAGAATATGCTTGAGAAAACACATGTCCCTCTGTAATTCCCAGAGAGGGAGACACTTGGAGGGGGGAGCTGAAGAACTGGGTCAGGTTGAGGGCTCTTGGCATTAGGGGGTGATAGTAAAGAGGGCAAGTATGGGTAGGAGAGGGAACAAAGATGGTGGTGGATAAGTGTGTGACTTGGCTACACACTCTGCTTCCCATTAACTCCATTATCTCCTCGCAAAAGAGTGTGGCTCTGAAGGAGAGAGTGAGGAACTTAAAACTGATGTAGCAGATGAGATGAACCCAGGGGAGGTATCAGACCATATCAGAGTAGTAAGCAAGGCAGGTGCCTTATGAAGCACTTGCCTTATACAGCTACAAGAGTTTCTCAAACATTTTATCTCCATGCAGGTCTGCCCAAAAAAGTATGAAAACATAACTGGACGATTAGCCTCTTAGAAAAGGAGTTCAAATGAATGTATTAGCAGATAGAACACTTAGTAAAAGTGGTATCATTAATGACTTCCTCTCCATCTGGCATTCCCAGGACTGAGAGGGCACAGAGAGAACAGACCTCTAGAGAGGAAGTACGTTCAGGGCAGTTGAGGCACAGCGGTGGGGCAAGTTTGCATTGCAGCTGCTTGGTACCTGCTGTAAATACACAGATGAGGTAAAAAATAGCAATTACATGAATCTATCATTGACTTAAAAAACCCAGTAACTTACTACTACTTTCAGCAGTGAAGCAGGAATACATTCTTCAAAGAATCTTTGTTGCCCTCTACAGCCAAGTTAGAAGTAGGGCTCTGAGAGAGTAGATAGCCTTCTTTTCCAACTTGATTTCATTTTCTTACCTTACAAGAAATTTTCCATATGGTTCAAAATAATCCAATATTGTTGGAACGTGAAACATTTTCACTTTCGTTTTGTTCCTGCATTTCATCATCTTCATAATTTTCCTCCTGAATGGTATTGGCTAATGGGTACTGCACTGGCTCTATCTCTGTGCTAAAGAGTTGCTGTTCCAAGAAGGAACCTCCAATGCCATATTGCTCATCGTATTCGCTCACTTCTGCAGGTGACACGTGGGGAGATCCCAAAACAAAGTTTGCAAATCTGTCAGATTTAAAAAGAGGAAAGGATCAGGCAGGAAGAAAACCAAATACCTGCAAATGTACAGAATCCTGTTATTGAACCTGACTTGAGGCAGAGACCTGCACGTTTCAGTTATGCCTACAGACAGCATTCAAAGCAGGAATCATGCCCCTGTGGCATGCTGGAATTAAGCCTGAACTAAGGATTTACACATACAAGAGGGTAAATCAAAGGGCAGCAACCAATACTGAACTTTGTCACCTCAATTAGCAGTTTTCTTTCATCATCCCTCTTTCAAATGTTTCCAGTCTTTTCTTCATGCTTTAATTAATTTTGGTTCCTTAGTGGTTGAATAAGCAGTAGGATATAGCAACTGGGCCAGGCATAACTTAACTTCTTGCTCCTGTAGACCTAACTAGGTCACTTGCCTTTTCTCAGATTCTGTTTCTCCACTGGCAAAGTGAGGCTAATAATACTTTTCTCCCAAGAATGTTATGAAGAGTCATTAAAGTCTGTGGAGTACTTGAGAGGTAAAGGGCTACAGGGTTTATCTGAATTCACTCGATTCCTGACACAAACAAGTTCAAGAGTTCAATAAGCAGGAGTTCCTGCATTACAGCATCACTTGCATCCAGGCCTTGTGGACACTGCAGCAGTTCCCTGAACTCTGAGAGAGGCTGCAATTTCTGCAGCAGCTCCAGGTAAACTCTAAAATGAGGATTCACAGAATACAGAGAAACCTTTGTTATCCAGCACTATGTTAACCAGAAAACTTTAACCAGCATTGCCCCCAGCCACAATACTGTCACATCTTCAGGCACACAGGCCTGGCTTGGTTTACCATGATTGGCTTAACAATTTTTTATTTAAGAAGTACTAATCACCTTTAACTCAAAACAGAAATGTGAGATCAACTACCTCACACTACAAAATTAGCAATATTAAAAACTTGAGTTTTACTATTATTGTCCATTGGTTTTTTTTCCTAGGTGGGTGGGGGTGTGTCTAGAGCGATTAAAATAATCGCGGCTTCATTTAAATTTAAATGGCTGCCCCGATCTGCCGATCAGCTGTTTGTCGGCAGATCGGGGGAGTCTGGACGCGATGCCCCGACAAAGAAGCCTTTCTTCATCGACACAGGTAAGCCTCGTGAAACCAGGTTTACCTGTGTCGATGAAGAAAGGCTTCTTTGTCGGGGCATCGCGTCCAGACTCCCCCGATCTGCCGACAAACAGCTGATCGGCAGATCGGGGCAGCCATTTAAATTTAAATGAAGCCGCGATTATTTTAATCGCGGCTTCATTTCCCCCTTCCGATCTGGCTAATCTACATGCCTCCGTCGAAGGAGGCATGTAGTCTAGACACACCCTGGGACCCTCAGATAACCGGAATTTTTAGATAACCGGAATGCCCTAATCCCCGAGTGTGCTGGATAACACAGGTTTTACTGTACAATGAAAACAAATAGTACAGTAATATTCTGTGTACTGTTTGAGAGCTTATATTCCAGTTATTTGATAACGGCACGTGCGTTTTAACATGCTCCTATTCTTGCTATGACAAAGGGCAGCTGGGCTACAGAAGTCAGAGGCTGATTCTGGAGTTTATTCAAAAGTGGGGATCATTTGATGCTTTTTGGTGCCTGGATGATATTAATGGTGGTAAGAGGCTATAAGAAAAGCATATTAGTGAAACAGCTCTGTTACACTGATCACCAGTTAAATGGTTAATATTCATATCACTGTCATTAGGTTTCAGAGCTAAAATTTCACTGAGATGACTGGGGCTGTTCATTCTTCTTGCAAATGTACTGCAGACTCAGGCAGACAGCATTGCTTTGGTTTCATTTGGTAGGTTTTCTTTGTTGCCATAAGGGAAAAAATATAATTATTCTTTAATGAAAGCATAGACACAGTCAACTTAACAATCAGACTTCTGCCAGAGTCTTATTTTTTTAACAGACTAGTGTTAAAAATATTTCCTGAGAATAACTAAAAGTGACTGGAGAAAAAAATAACTCTTCTCAGTTTGTTTGTGCATTTCGCAGTGTGAGCATTTAGCAGTTTAGTTTTCCCTCTGGTTGATCTGAATTTTAACACTAACAGGAAAGACAGATATTTTCGAAACCTGAAACCTACCTACAGGAAGTGTCATGGGAGGCCAGGTGCAGCCCAAAATGCCTTTGAACTCAGGTTTGGTAACATTCCAAAGCTGATGGCGCTTTAAATTCTGTAGCACACATGAGGGGTGAGGGCAAGTTCTGTGGCTGCATAGTACATGGCACCCTGCTGCTAAGACTTCAAGGTTCTAATTTTGGTTTTCAGGGGAAGCATGTTGGAATTCTAATGAGCCTTATGTCCCTAACTCCTCTTGCTGACAGCCCTCTCCTGCTTCACATCCTACAATCATTCTTTTTGTTCACCTGAAGTGTCTCTGAACTGCTCCAGTCTCTCCATCCTCTCTGATTCCCAGAGGCAGAGGATGCTATTTCCACAGTACTCTGAGTCCTACTTCAAGGCATGTCTATGCTAAGGCTGTATTAGGTTGACTTGTAGCCACTGCAGCAATTACTGTGGTGGTCCATGTCCCCCCAACCCTCCTTTGGTTTGTGGTACACATCTTCACCAGGAGTACTTCCACTGACCTCCGAGGGGTGGTGTGAAGAGCCTGATGTCTCAGCTCTGTTTACTGCTCCCCACCAGCTCCCTTCCCCCTCGCCCTCCTCCAGTCCCTGCCTCCCACTAGGAGCCCAACTGCCCCCAGTACCAGCTACCTACCCTCCACTGGGAGCCTGGTGACCTCCCCTCCCCACAGCTCCCACTCTTGGCTCTTTGCTCCCTGCTGGGAGTGGGGCAGCTACTCAGGCTCTCTGTGGGGATCTGAAGACCAGACAGCAGCTAGGCTCCTAGCCACAAGCCTGGAGACTGACAGCCAATAGCCAGTGCAAGTAATGCAATGTCTACTCTACACGGACAGTGTGTGTCCCTAACTACTCTGACATAAGCCCTACTGTGCCTCTCCTGGAGGTGGACTTATATCAGTGTAGTAGGGCACTTACGTTGCTGGGAGCAAGGCTGTGCTGTGCACACTGACACAGATCAACCTAACTGTGTCATGTAGCCCAGTGCTAAGCCTATGGGAAAAGAGACATTGGCTGACGCTCCCAACAATGGGTTTATGTTTGGTAAAGCAGAACCGTTTGATTCTATGACCATATCCTGCCTGCCTTTGGGATGAGATCTTCACTCCCACTCTACCCCTTTACACTGTGGACAAGACTGAGATACAGTGCAGAAGGGCCCTAAGGGCTCCACACCCAGTCAGAGATGAGTCCCACCAAAACAGGCACTTTGGGATCAGCCATGTGGCTTCTTTCTGAGGACCTCTTTGCAAGCCCCAATGTAGAAGGCATACAGGAGCGGGAATAGGAGGATCCTATCAGAGACAGGGCTACAGGCATCACTGCAGAAAATTCTAGGCTACCATAACTTTAGAGAGGCTCCCAGGTCTGTCTAAATTAGCTCAGAGTATTCTGCAGCCTCAGAGCAGTCCAGGACCAGGAGAGCACAGAGGTGCCTTCAAGCCCCTTTAGCCCTCTAGCTAGCAAGATCTGTACCTCTGGACACCAACAGGACTACTCATATGAACAGTTACTTGTTTGAGTCTTGGCAGGATCGGGCCTATATGTTAAGCTGCTTTAAGAAGTATTTGGCTTTTCTATGTAACAGTGCCTTTAAAATGCATTCAGTTTTAAGAGATGAGAGTCTTTCTTACTTTTTAGGGAACTGGAGTTTGGACACAGCTAACCATGATGAGAAATCTGGACTCCTGCAGAATGAGCGTAGCTCCTCCAAGGCTTTCATAGTCTCTGTTTCCCCCTGCTCCCTGTACTCCTCTTCAGTAAGAAGCCGAAACACCAGCTTTTTGGATTTACAAAAATTCCTGATTTTTCTAAAACAAAAAGAAACACAATTAATATTGTGCATGGAATTCTCATATTACAAATACTATACACTGCTTCCATGTCACTATGATGACTTCTTTCTTTCTGGACATCTACTGTAAAAGGAACATCATGCCTTCGCATGAGAAAGAGAGACAAATAGATATTTTAAAAGTCCCCCAGAATTAACCTAGTTTTCATTCTCAGGGTCTATGTATATTTGGACCTCATTTGGGTTGGGTCCAAATCACATACGTTAGTGGAAAATCTCAATGACTTTCAAACAGGCTTTGGATCAGGTTCTTTATAGATACACACAAACCTATGGAAACTGATACATGGATATTTATCTAGCCATTTGCAGGTGCAACAGGGATTTGTGCATACAAAATAGGCACACAGGGATGATGGAGCTGAAAATTAAGCCCAATCTGTGCTGAGAACTTTGCAGCTCAGCAAGGTTCTTAAAAATCTGTTGCAAATTGTTCATGTTGTTTACTCTTTATATATATTTCTCTCTCTCTCTCTAATATATGTATATATACACACTCACACACACATCTCTATATAGATATATAAAAATCTTGCCTTAAAAATTATACAGCTGAATAGTTTGAGGGCAAAATATTTATAATCTGAGGTAGCTGTTATGATGTATAGTAATTTATAACATACTTAGCTATCACTTAGACAGTGTACTGTGTTCTGTTCTTTTCTATTGACTGCTTTCAATTTTTGTTGTTGTGGTAACTTTGGAGTTCAGAGCAACAAGGGGTTTATGCCCAAGAAAAGAGTTGAAACTCCACATATATGTACCTGCAGTAGCCATATCTCTTCCCTGGAGAAAACAGAGAAGGGATTGAGGCTCTTGTTTGTTACAGTTTGTGTGATAAGGGTCAAAACCTGATGCCCCTGAAATTAATGATAAAGCTCCCAGAGGGTTCAATGGGAACAGGTTCTAGAGCAGGGTTGGGGAACTTCAGGCCTGGGGACCAAGGCTCAGGGGCTCCTCCCAGCATTAGGTGGCCTGTGCTGGCACTCCAACCCCCTGATGCCCTACCATGGGGCTGGAAGCACAAAATCTACAAGGCTGGGCCCCCCCTAGGCTCTGGTATACAAGGGGAATGTGGGAAATGTCTTTCTCCTCAGTTGGGGGCTACCTGAGTGAGAAGTTATTTGTTTTGTTTTGGCTTCTCGCTTGTGTGCAGCCCTAAACTGTTTTTTCAGTGTGTCAGCTGCCCCCGACTTGAAAAAGGTTCTCCACCCATTCTAGAGCTTACTAGGGGATCAGATTATCAGCAGTACGTACAGATACCTACTAAACTGAATTGAGCATTTTGCTTCCTCTGTAATCATTTTTATCAAAGCCTCAAGGTTTGGGTTTGTTCTGCAGAATTAAGTAACAAATAACTTTAAAATGTGCTGTTTATAAAACCAATCAAAAACTTCCTTTCTGAGAGATTTTTCCTGTTCTACTGTATGTGCTCATCACTCTCTTGGCTCTGCAGCAGCAGACAAATCAAAAACTGAAATCATGCCAGCAATCAGTATTGAAACAAAGACACTTTAACTTGTCAGAATACCTACTTATTTATCAGGTCAATTTCATGGTCATGAGATTTTTTAAAGTTATTTTCATGATTTCAGCTATTTAAATCTGAAATTTCACAGTGTTGTAATTGTAGGGGTCATGATCCAAAAGGGAGCTGGAAGGGTTCCAAAGTTATTGAGAGGAGAGAGTTTTGGTACTTCTGGTGGTGTCACTGCCTTCAGCTTTGGGCAGCTGAAAAATGGTGGCTTCTGGCTGGGAGCCCAACTTCGAAGCCAGAACTGCCACCAGAAGCAGCAGAGAAATAAAAATGGCCTGATACAGAATTGCAACCAGTACTTCTGTGCTGTGTCTAGCAGGGTGCTACCTTCAGCTCCCAGGCTACAGGACCTGAAGAAAGATCCGAGGCTACTAAGGCTGCACAGAGGCAGCCAGGCTAGGCAAAGGCAGCAGGTTCACATACCTTTGCCAATGATGAGTGGCCATTTCAGACTGCAGTTTTCCTCATGGCAGAGGCTAGATGAAAAGTGGCAGTGGGTCACTGAGGCAAGGTGGGTATAGGGGTATTGGGGGTTCCCTGGGAGGGGAGGACTCCAGAGAGCAGATATTGATAAACACACACCCCCAAAAGGGGGCTGAGAGAAACTGGAATGGGCACTGTCAGATGACGCTGTGGTCTGGGAGCAACACAGGTCCAGAATATAGTGTGTGGAGTGAGGACATGGGGAGACACCAGCCAGAGGGAGGCGCCTGTGAGCTAAAAGTTAATTCCCAGGGCTACTGGCAGGAGGTCTGCCCCGTGACAGGAGGTCAAAGGAATATTAAAATGATTTTTTAAAACTGAGTGGTGTTAAAGTCCCTGTGGTTTGTGGTAAAGCAAACTTCAGCCTTTGACTAACAGCTCCATAATTCAATGTAAAAGAAAGACAGTGGGACTGCCTTTAGAATAATCATTTGTGTGTTACTATTGATTTGATACAACATACAGTAGACTTCCGATAATCCGGAACCTATGGGACCTAGGTGGTGCCGGATTATCAAATATGCCGGACTATCAGAAGGTACTATAAGATGGTTATATATATATACTGTATACATTATATACTGTATATGAAGTGTTTTTAACCCTTTTTATTGTACATACTGTATACAGTATACTGTAATGTTTTAGGTTTTTTAAGCCTTTTTTACCCTTTTTGTTCAGTTCAGCAGCTGCCACTGTTACCTTGTGACTAATTTTTTGCTGAAGCTTACTCACTAGGCTCTTGCCATTTTGATGCCGGACTATCAGGAGTGCCGGACTATTGGAGTTTTACTGTATTTTAAATGCCCAGGTCGATAGCAAACAGAAGCTTGTTCCCATGTGGTTACACAGCATATACTGGACAACCAAAATCAGAATTTAAAAGCGTTACAAATGAAGGCCTCTATCTAGAAGTAGCTGCATATAGGTAGACCCCAGCTCCCAAAACAAGCAAACTCCCAATGACTTCAATAGGGACAGGATGAACAAATAACCTATAATTTTGTCAGAGTATCCTATCCTAATGTCCATATCCCATGTCATCTAGTGATATCTATTTTGTTACAAAGGTATCTGCAGGTACTTTTTGTTAAAAATCAAAGTCCTGCAGTTCTATGAAACCATGATGTTGTCCCTGCAGTCTAACCAGTCAACTGAATTAAAAGCTATCATTTACCCCATACTACAGAAAAGCTGCTCTTGTTGCATTTATGAAATTTGTAATCACAGTTCTCTGTGCAGCAAAATCCATGCTTAAAACTCCTGCACTGAGAATTATTACATTCTTATGTATCCAGCCTTGTCTCTAATGTAAGTTTATGTAAGAATATGTACTAGGATTAGTAAATGACACATAATTGTCATTTTATGTGGGTTTTATTATTAACCTCTTACTAGAAGATTTACCTGGTGTTGCTCAGGTCCTTAACTTAAATGTTTTGTTTTTCTTCATTTAAATCATTGTTCTGGGGTTGGAGTGGGAATGAGGGGTTCACTATATTGGTTGCTTTGAGGAGAGAGGAATACCCCAGCCCTCTCTCATTGCAGCAGCTTGTAGCAAGGTCACAAGTGCCACTCTATGGCCACTGCAGCTCCAATGGGCACAACCAGGGGAGAAGCGTGTGTCCCCTGGCTGGAGGACAGACACACACATAAACAGGCAAACTTTCTGAAATATATAGTAGATAGCTGTCCTTTCTCCACCTCTACTGGCCCAATGGGGTTATAGCTGTCCTGGTCCCCATCTCTGGCCCTTTGGTCTCCCCCCTGTGGTCATTCTGGAGTACAATTTCCTCCTACCAGAACCCACCCTTGCTAATTTGTAATAAACAATCAAATTTCCATCACACCCCATTGCCCTGGCAAAACCAAATCCTGGTCCTGCTTTAAGTTTGGAGAAGATGAAGCTGTATACCAAATTTGGTGGTCCTAGCTTTTACTGTTTAGGAAGAGTTCTTGAACAAATGGTCTCACAAATGGACAGATGCACATTTCTAAAATAAATAAATAGATAGATGATGATGATACATGACTTGTATGTTTAGAAAATGGATACCAACCTGCCCACAAAACAGACCATGCCAAGGGGATAGCATAGGCCTTTTGAACAGAGGATGATAGCTATGATTGCATATGCCACCTGGGGGTTGGTGACCCCAAAATAAATCAAGATAAAGGCTATTAATTGTAATGTCCATGTCAAGAGGGTTATGCTTCGCTCATGAGTTAGTGGTCCATGCTTGTAACAAACCACAAAGCTCGTACATCCAACAGTCAGAAAATACCCTGTAAAAGCAGAAAAAAATGCCATGTATAGAATGACACAAAGGATGTACGTTAACTTTAATGGTAGACTGATTGCTTAAAACTGTCGCACAGTAAAGCCTACTGCTGCTTTTTGTGCTGTCTACTATGTATTTTAGGAACATGAAGGGCCTTATATTTAAAATATATAAGCAAAAAAAGCATATGCAGGAGCACTAGGCTTGCACATGTAACTACACTAACTGCATATGTAAACTGTGTATCTGCATGTGCCGCTAGCAAGTTAAAGGCATAACTAGATAACTGGTACCCAAATATCCTGTGTACATTTGTTTAGAGTTAAATCATAACTTAAAATGCTTATGCAAGGCAGTAGGCATTAGAAAACACTAATAGCAATAAGATTACATTTCGGTATTTAATTGTCATTAAAATGATCAGGTTAATTTATCTGTATGTGCAATTTCAACAATGGTGTACAATTGTATTATTGAAAGGTCCTAATTTTACTTCAATACTTGTGTAAACATCTGCATGGATTAGACTCTGTCCTAACATAGGTCAGTATTTATTTTCAAATAAAATGTTTGTAAATTAAGTTGATAGGTTTGCAGATACATGTATTCTATCAGTTTCAATCCTGCTAAAAGCACATTGTCAAACCTTGCTTGCTTTCCTAATTGGTGAAGAGTGAATGCTGAAAGGTTTGGAACTTCAGTTTGAATAAGCATCCAAAGCAGAGTTGATAAAAAATTAATTGAAAAAAATGTAAAAATCTGGTTTTTAATTTAAATCAGTTTTTATTTAAATAATCATCAAGCACTAAATTTCTCATTTAAAAGTAAGTTACAATTAAATCTCATCATAAACATGCTACACCTACACTTAGGGGTACATCTACACTTGCTCTATAGTTCGAACTAGAGATGCAAATGTAGCTGACCAAAATTGCTAATGAAGCGGGGATTTAAATATCCCGTGCTTCATTAGCATAATCTCGCACATGCACTATTCCGCTCGCCAGCTGATTCGAACCAGGAAGTGTGCTCCGGGACGCGTTAGTTCGAATCAAACCCCTTGAAAAATGAGGAGTAACATTAGTTTGAACCAAGGGGGTTGATTCGAACTAACGCGTCCCGGAGCGCACTTCCTGGTTCGAATCAGCTGGAGAGCAGAATAACGCGCGGGTGAGATTATGCTAATGAAGCGTGGGATATTTATATCCCTGCTTCATTAGCAATTTCGGTCGGCTACATTTGCATCCCTAGTTCAAACTATGGAGCAAGTGTAGATGTACCTTTAGTCTCATAAAATGAATTAATGGCTCTAGTTTGTCCAGCCTAACAACCAGTTCTTGCTTCTTGAAAGTCCTGGGCCTTCAATTTCTATTTTTTAACAGACTAAAAAGTAACATGTGCAAAGACATACACAGGCTGGATAGGATTGTTTCTGTTCTGTGCTTATGGAGGGTGGACCTTGGCCAAGCACGACAGAGGACTTAGTTAAAACTTTGTCTTAATGACAGAGACACAATATATAGGAAAGGACGGAGGCAACATAGAAAGGAATAGTGGAGTGGATTGAAAAGAAAAAGAGAAGACATTATTAAGCACACATAACATTCAGCTTTCTATATTTCCCCACACTTTTGCCACAGAAAAATTGTCATAGCTTTGGGTATAAGAGGGATGCTATCTGGGAATATTTTGAAAAAATTAGTTCCCTGGGTAAAAAAGGAAAATGTGTCAAGTGTAAACAATGCAAGAAGATGATGCGGGGCTTAGTTGCAAGAATGAAATATCATCAGGGGCTGGACCGTGTGGGCTCCCCAATGCTGGGGGGGAAGCCATCAGCCTTAGGGGTCAAATCCATGCAAGCCAGTGGTCACATCTGGCCCCCGGGCCTTAGGTTCCGCATCCCTGACATAGATGAAGATATGGCCAAGTGGATCAACTGGTTAGAAACTTAAATAATTCACTTTGCAATGCATTACTCTTAGCCAGGATGGGTAGAAATGGTGTCCCTCACCTCTGTCAGTAGCTGGAATGGGTGACAAGGGATGGATCACTTGGGGCACTTCTACACAGCAGGGTAAAAGTTGAATTAAGATACACAACTTGAGCTACATTAATTGCGTAGCTTACGTCAAAATAGTTCAATTTGACTTTTGGTGCTGTCTACTTAGTGGGAAGTCGAAGGAAGAACACTCTTCCTTTGAATTTCCTTATTCCTCATAAAATGAGGGTGAGTCTGAGTAAGAAGTTCTCCAGCTCCCCATTATTTCAAAATAATGTCTTGAAGTGTAGACACACTCTTTGTTATTTCAGAATAACGTCAGTATTCTGAAGGCTATGTACAATACATAGCCTTCATGATCACCTGTTTTGTTCATTCCCTCTGAGACACCAGGCATTGGTCATTGTCTAAAGATATTGGCCTAGATGGGCCTTTGGTCTGACCCCGTATGGCTGTTCTTGTGTTCTTATTCTTCAAGACTCTCTTTATGCCTTTCAGTAGAAGTGTGATTTGACAGCATACTTCCTGGGAATTTACTTACGTTGGATGTTGCTAGAAAAAAAAAAGTTTACCTTAGCTAATCCTTATGGCTTGTTTAATTAATTAACTATGTTTAGAAACTATCACTCTAGGATACAATGCAGAAAACTGCAGTAAGAGAAATCAAGTTTCAAGTTGCTACTGAGTGTAATTTTCTTATTTTATATTGCATAATAGATGACCGTTACGTTGGAACATCATGGTCACTAACTATAATGGTGATGTCATAAGTGTTATTCCCTATTTTACTTCAGCATCACTCAGCTTTTCCAAAGGAACCCCATTCTATACTTGTTTTCTCAAAAAACAGAAGTGGCAGTGAGTTCAATGGGGTATATTCCAAAATTAAGTGCATTCTAAGCACAGTCTGTCAGATGTTTTGGTAACTTGATTTAAAACAGTTATTTTTTTTTATGACTGAAATCATGATTTAAATCAATCCACCCTGAGCCAAAGGAGTCCATACTTATTTAACTCTCTGCTTCTTGGTTTCAGCCCTGCTGTCAATTCTGCAAGAACAGTTTTTCTCACTATACTTTGCAGCATGCACATCGGGGTGCCACTGCAGCAAAGGTGAGTCAACATAAAAAAATCTGTAAAACAATTTTGTATCAACTGAATTGAAAGCAGTTAGTGAATACTCATGGGCACAAAGCATAAGGGGCTGGCGTAGTGGTCTAAGAGCAGAGTTCTGTGCTGCTAGAGCAAGTGGGGAGAACCAAGTTAAAAGCTTGTGCCCCAGTCTCCCTCCTCCTAGGCTAGCACAGGGCATGGGAATTCCTAATGACTTCTGTATTAGTAAATACTTCGGGAGTAAGTGCACACTAGCTGCACCTCTCCATGCCAGAGATATCTGCTATGTTCAGGGAAGACCCCCATTACAGTGTCTGCTGCAGCTAACACCAGGGAGATGGCTTTAGCTGATAATACAGGCTGTATAGTTGCTTTGCCCAAGGAGGATGCTGAAGAAAAACGCTGAAGCAATAGGTTCTACAGACTCCTTGACCATTCCCTTTTTCCAGGCAGCACAATTCCACTCCTAGCTCTAGACAGGGGAGATTGTGGCTGTCTTCTTTGCTTTCATGGTGGGTGTGAAATGGAAATAGTAAGGTAAGATGGGCAAAAGTTTCCTTTCCTTCATGCCTCTAAACGCCAACATCACTTTCCCTATTTAAGAATCTGATGAGAATAAATGCTCATTTGAATGGATTAGGGATCTTCAGAACCCAGCCATTCCTCACATTGATGAGAGAAGAATATTCATCAAATGTAATTCTTACAAACTGCACATTCTAACCTCTTAACAAAAACCTGTCCACTATAGATTTCTGCTCATTATCTTACCCAGTAAGTAGTTTCTATATTCAGACCACAGCCACTTCATTTCCCCTTTCAAACAGTAAATAAAGTAGAGAGAGGACATGCAGCAGCCACTCATTAAAATCCCAAAGGTGCTGTGCTGGGAGTAAAAGAAAACAGTTAGTCAATCAGCTAGGTTATGGCTTATTATTTATATGACGGTAGCATCCACAGGGTATGAATCAAGATTGGGCCACAGAAGGCTAGGGATTTCACAAACATACAGGTAAATGAACTGTCCGTCTTGAAGAGTTATGAGCTGATTCGCTTGTTACTGTATTATATTCTGAAGTCTCAAGATAAGTGAAGTGGGGTCACTACATGAGATTTCTGTCCAAACTTCTTGAAGCTGTATCATGTCCTGGTGTGGTGACATTCATGTTACCTCCCAATATTAATAATTATTATTAATATATTGTATTTGACTTTGAAATGTTTTATAGAGGCCAAGTCGTTTTGTGGGAAAATGGTTGGATAAGATTTAGCCCTGCCTGTGTAAGATAATTTTGCTATTGGAAATGAACAGTAAAGTCACAACTGCCACAAAAACTATGGTTTCATTTCAGCTCATTTGTTTTCTCACAACATAAGCAAACTGACCTGGGACACACCCTAAAATTATGGTTTCAGCATAAATGCTTAATTATTATTATTAATAATAATAATAATAATTAATAATGTCTTTGAACATCAACAAATGTAACTGTTTATTCAGACTTTGGAAGGCATCTGATTTTAGGTACATTGGTTTTACACTGAAGTCAATAGAGTTTTAATTGTATCCTTTGGTATATATGGTCGTGCCAATTTTCTTCCACTATTTGATCTGAGGAAGTGGGTCTGGCCCACGAAAGCTCATCATCTAATAAGCCATCTTGTTACTCTTTAAAGTGCTACATAGTCCTGTTTTTTGTTTCAGCTACACCAGACTAACACGGCTAAATTTCTATTACTATACTCATAACAACAATAAGAGATCAGAATCTGGCCTTAAACTTGCTATGTGCTATTTTGTTTTCCACATGGTACACGTACCTTTGGAATAAATCTTTTAAGTGTCAACAGGAGAAAGACTAGCGTTGCAAGAACACCCAGTGCCACTCCAGCAGAGTAATAGAAAATAGCACTCCTGTTAGGGAACAGCAAGATGGAGGACACTGTAAAAACCTTGTATTGAGGTGCAACTGGTTTGGAACTACCAAGAAGTGTAATGCTGTACTTAATCAGAGACAGAACACCGTGGAAGGTAAACCAGGACAGTGGAAGGTAAACACTTTCAGGTTACCAACCTTGGTCAAATTCTCAGCTCTGGCTTCACCTGCTCTGCATTGCAGAGGCAGAATGAAGCATCCAGAAAACTTCCAGAAAAAGGCAGGTAAAAATTCCCTGAAAGAAAGGAATCTTTGAGTGTCACAGATGGTTATAAGTTGCCTGCTCATCCCCAAGCCTTGTATTGGGGTGGCAAGAGGTACAGGAAGTGGGGGGCAGTGCATGGCACTCTAGTTGGTGCCCAGATGACCTTGTGAGATGGGGGCATCTGGTAGAGCTTAGATTAGGTCACATTAGGTCCCAGTAAGCTCTTCTGCTGGGCTGAGTATGAACTCAAGGGAGCTGAGGACAGAAGTACTTTAAAAAAAAACATTATTTTCTGTATTACAAACAGCATTAGATGACTAGAGTTGTGAGAATTGAAAATAATCCCCTTACCTTTTCCTTAGTTCTACTTTTATTTTATTTTCCATGTGTCAAAATATCAACAGTGAAAACACCACCTCAAGTCCACTCTTGTGTATCATGTTTCTAGTCAATTTCATTTCCTTGTCCAATGCTGTAATTTTTTTATTCCAATAATTTTTTTTTACGTTTTAAAAATGTTTTGATGGAAATAAAATTACAGAAACTTTTAGTTTTTGTAATCCTATTTTTACAAAATCCAAAGGCTTGATAAAATTTGACCTAATACTATTTAAAGTTTTGTGTCCCACAAATTTTTTAAAAAGGAGCAGAACTGAAAATTGAGATGTCATAAATTAACTAATTGTACTATGCCAGACTCCAGCATGAAACAAAATGATGGCAAGTATCTTCCTTTTATGCTACAAAAATATGAGTGCTAGCTTATGCTTTTTAATGCTCAGCTATGAGTACAGGGATGAAGTGGAGTGGGGAGCAACAGAGGCAGTTAGGTCCAGGTGACCTCATCTTACATTCAGTTCCTCCTAAGATTCCCACACTGTGGGAATGGGAAATTTGCAACATCCCTTTATACAGCACCCCCCAGGCATGATTGGTTCACTGGAATGGAGGTGATGGCTCTACGTACTCCTTGTCCACCTGCTCATGGGCAGAGTCCTGCATAGATACAAAATTTGTATCCACATTTACACCTGCAAAAATGAGCCGTGGATGTGGATATAAAGTGGGTATCTGAGGATTTGCAGGGCTCTGCTCCAGGGGAGAATCGCAGGTGTAGCCTCAATAGTATCCATAAGTGCTAGGAGCCATGATCTGGAAGCACTAACACAGCCACACAAGTGAAGAATTTTTGCATTACATTTCTCCTCTGCATTACTACATTAGGGCTAAGCACAGAAACTGGGGATGCCTAGTCCTATGTACATAATATATATTACAGACATTTTTTCTTATTTCATTAAACAAAACAATTGCTTATGATCACTGAACTATACAAATAGAGAATGTGAATAGGAATGCACCAATGGCTCTGGAAAGAATACCAAGATAAAGGGACTAATGCTTACCTACTCAAGGCATTTGCAAAATGGAACAGAAAAACACCAGCAACGAACAAAAGGACGAGTTTCCTATCCACCACTGAAAATCCAAAAAACAAGATTTCAGGCTAATTCATCTGGTGATTTTAATTGTCAAACATTATCAGACAAGTCTCAGCTGTTCCATTGAGGTAACTTTCAACTCAGAGTGCACTATTCAGGTAATGTTGGCAATATTATCCAATCCATTCATTGGATGAATGGAAAGCATCACTCTACTTACTATTTTGTTGTACATTCACGGTGTAGGGTACTTCCTTGTAGGGTTGGACTATGAAGCACATATTCTCTCCATATTGGTTTATATTTATGACAATTTCTTTAGATGCCTCTGGTTGCCAAATAATTTGAACAACGCACTTGAAAAATGCAAGAACAGTTTCTGAATTATGACAATTGCTGTCAGCCAAGATAGGCACAAACTTGAACATTTCTGTGCTGTTAATTTTCACCTGAAAACAGAACAAAACCAAACATACATTGTAGGGAGTTGGATCAGTTGGCGTATCTTTCAAAAACATACCCGTTATTTAAACATAACATAAGAAGAAATAACAGAGCAGAAATTTAGGGAATAATAATCACACCGTATGAACAAGAAGATGCCAAGTTGTTCACAATGGTGTCTTGACAGAATCCTTCAGCATACTCTCAGGAGTGCGACAAAGGTGCCTATTGTCACCTTTCCTGTTCTTGATCACAATGGACTGGATTATGATCAGGACAACAGGTGGCCATCAATGGGGCATTCAGTGGACACTTTGCAAACAGCTAGAGGACATTGATTTTGCTGATGATGTCACCCTCTTTTCACACCAACATGAAAGCATGTAAGAAAAGATCACAACGCTAGAAAAAACTGCCTCAATGATTTGGACTGAGCATTAAAAACAAGGGAAAGACCAAGACAATGAGGATCATCCAGTCCAACAACAATACCATCACACTAGGAGGGGATGACTGGAAGATGTGGAGCAGTTCATCTACATGGGGAGAAGTATTATGGGCAGAGACGGAGGAACAGATAAGGATATCAATGCTAGGACAGGGAAAGCAACAGCTGCATTCAAGACTCTTCGTCCCATATGGAGTTCACAAATAATATCTGCGAAGACAAAACTGCGAATCTTCAACACAAATGTGAAACGTGCTCTTGTATGGATGTGAGACCCAGCATACTAAAAAGTCTTCAAATCACAAGTTATAGATGTTCATAAACAGATGCCTGAGTTACATCCTTCATATCAAATGGCAAGACTTTGTCACAAATTAGGAGCTTTGGAACAGAGCAGGACAAGAATCACTTGACGTTCAAATCAAGAGAAGAAAATGGGGATGGCTAGGCCACACACTCAGAAAACCATCATCCAGCATAGTCCATCAAGCTCTCACATGAACCCGCAAGGAAAATGCAAAAGAGGAAGATCTTGGAGAATATGGAGAAGATCTACTGAGATTGAAGGACAAACACTGAGGTACTTCTGGAGTCAGCTAGAAGTTTTGACTCAAGACAGTGTGAAGTGGAGGAGACTTGTAGATGACCTATGCTCCACTCAGAGTACAAGGGGGGTAAGAAGAATCCCACTGAAGTCCCTTAAATCAGATACCTAGTCCTACTGTACTTAATATTTCACATATAGCTTCTCTAAAATCTGTGGGCCCCCATGTGGATGCATGTTCTAAAGAATCAAATCCTAAGGTTACAATTCCATTAAGTGCTCTGATGCTGCAGGTGTTTGATACACTATTAACACTGACTACCCACTATTCCTCTGGAGGACACCCAGGCTCATTTTATAGGTTATGAACCCACTGGTCCTGAAGCTTCTTGTGGATAAGGATGCTAACTGCATGTTATAGGTGATGGGAGAACAACAATGCAAGTTGTCACAAAGCAGAAGTATGCAGCAAAAACTGGATTAAAAAATCCAGCCCTCTTCTTTTCAAGGACTGAGCTACAATGCTGATCTTCTCTACCATCTGAACAGTAAAAGTCCTCCTGCTCTTTAAATTGTAAGACAATCATCCTGGGCATCTTAAATAATGGATGTCCAACTGCAAGAAAAATGATCCTCTGTAACAAGCGAGGCCTCTTTACTGAAATGCAAGAAGAGAGTGATCTACCGGGGAAAATCATAGCTGTCCACTTTTAAGCATTTACATCAAGAAACTTTCCCACTTGCTGCATGTGATCACTACCTAAAACTTACCACCTCTCATAAAACTTAGCATACACATTGTATCTGCCTAGAGAAAAAAAGTCCTGGGCAGAGACGCAGTAAGGAGATTCCTCAACTGGGAGCTCATTCCTCTAACAGAGGTGAAGTGAAATGGTTTCTTTTCCCACTCAGCGAGTCCACTTGTCAGAAGAGCCAGGGAGCAGATTCTGAATTTGCTCCCCAGCACAGGGTTTAAAGGGGTGCCCTAAGCTTCCAGTACTTTCCATGGTAATTGAAACTTCTTACTACTTTGCAACCCAAAAAGCCCAATGTGCATATCTTACAAGTTTCACCCTTGGAAATATGCAGCTGATATTATGTAGCCTTGTTCTTTGGTTTTGCTATTAAAAAGTCACCATTCAATATACACAACACAATGAGTTGACATTTCTCTATCCTCTTTGTCTATACAACAAATCAGAGATATCAAACTGCCAAATCAGTCACACTAGAAGTGAAAGCAGTATGCCACTAAAACATGCTTCTTTTTAGGCTCCAACTATGCAACTATCAAACTGTTTTTATACTTAAATGCACCTATAATATTACATCTTATTCAGATGGGAAAACATGTATTAAAAATGTGAAACAAACTCCAAACACAGAATTACCTGAATAGATGACCAAATATTTTTTAAGTGCATTGTTCCATTTTGTATGTAACAGTAACAATCTGAATCTGTTTTTTCAATTATCTCCATTTCCTTCAAATGGATACAGTTTTTATCTGAAGAAAGAAAGAAAGAAACACTACATTAAGTGCATTTCCAAGTGTGGGCACTTCCTATATTCATGCTTTTGTTGTATCTGCAGTTTGATATTCTGAGGGCCATAAGCAATTTTCAGAAATTAAATCCTGCATAAAATTTGCATTAAAAACCTCTGCTACAGGTTAATATTTTCAGAAGCTCTGAAACTGATTAAGAGCCCAAGCTGAAATTTCAAACATGACTTAGGCACTAAGTTCCCATGATCTCCAAGGTGATTTAGGAGCCTACATCTCTTTGACATTTTGGAATATTCTGTATCTAGCCTGTTTTGGCTTTTTATTACATTTGGGAGAGGAGGGGAGAGAACAGCTTTTGTATTTTGATAGCCTTTGTATAAGGCCCATTAGCCCACACGTGATTTAAGTGGGAGTAAATCCAATGTTTAAATCAATGGTGAATTTGATAGAAGTCTAATAAGGAAAATGGGCCTAGATGTTAAAACAGTCATTTACCACACAACATTGCTGCTGATTGAAGAAGTTTTTAACATCAGAACATCTCCAAATTTGAAGCGGAAAAACAGTGTAATTTTGTTATGTTTAAGTAATATCTTTCTTTAGTAGAATTATTTCTCCTACGTGTTCTGAATTTTAACATAATTTTCAGTGATGACACTGTGTGGTGAAGGTAATTAGCAGTCTCCAGAGGTCTCTAGCTCTCTTAAATGGCATTGGCAAATTGTCTAATCAATCATTTCCACTGTTTCACTTCATGGAAATTTTAGGGACTCCCTACTGTTTTCAGGATTAGATAAGGATAATTATACTGTGTAACTGATTTGTGGGGCAAATTTTCATGAGTGTACCTGTAAATCTGCACACACAAAACTGCCCAACAGTATATCACCTCAAGATACCAGAAAAGAAATTAAAGAGCAGAATAAACAAATATAATACAACTGTTAAGTCAAAGAAGAATTTGTCTACTGAAGAAAAAAATAGGTGTGAATTAGGGATGTGAAAGGTTAACAGGATAACTGGTAAGCATCACCCTAAATAGGTAACTGGTTAACTGGTAACCCATGGGGGAGCTGGAGCATCTCCCCACCTCCCGCAAGCAGGGGGCTGCTCCAGCCCTGCAGAAGGTCCAATGTGGACAGGAACAGCCCCTGTCCATGGCAGCCCAGGTGTCAGGCAGGCAGGGGCTACGGGGTTGGGGACTGCTTCAGCCAGGCTGGAGTGGTCCCCAACCCGGGATCCTACTTTAGCCAATTAACTGGTAAACCTAAAGTTTAACTGGTTAACTGATTAACTGGGATTTTACATCTCTAATGTGAATGTAATAGCTATCTGAGTACTACAGGACAGAATGTTGTCAAACTCTAAGGCCTTATCTACACTGGCAAGCTACAGCACAGTAAATCAGCACCTAGCACTGTAACTTCTGTGGTATCCACACTAGCAAGGCCATTAGTTCACGCTAGCTCCGCGGTTATTACACTCTAGGTAAATCACCTTGACAAAAAGCGTAGAGCTACTGTGCAGTGGCTACAGTGCCAGGCTGTGTCTAGACTGATCAGTTTTTCTGGAAAATCAGCCGCTTTTCCGGAAAAACTTGCCAGCTGTCTACACTGGCCGTTTGAATTTCCGCAAAAGCACTGACTTCCTACTGTAAGAAATCAGTGCTTCTTGTGGAAATACTATTCTGCTCCCGTTCAGGCAAAAGTCCCTTTTGCACAAAGCTTTTGCGCAAAAGGGCCAGTGTAGACAGCTCAGACTTGTTTTGCGCAAAATAGCCCCGATCGCGAAAATGGCGATCAGGACTTTTTTGCGGAAAAGCACGTCTAGATTGGCACGGACGCTTTTCTGCAAAAAGTGCTTTTGCGGAAACGCGTCCGTGCCAATCTAGACGCTCTGTTCCGAAAATGCTTTTAACAGAAAACTTTTCCGTTAAAAGCATTTCTGGAAAATCATGGCAATCTAGACACAGCGCCAGTGTGCACCCTTCAGTTGTTTGTTGTGTTGTGACTAGCTTCCAAAAATGGCCCATAATCCCTGCAGTAGCCACTCTGCTAATTGTTTTGAATTTGGCTAACTGCTCTGCAGGTATGTGCATATCCTCTTTCAGAGCTCCCTTTTCAACAGCCTGCATGCTATGCTGATCTGCACTGGAACACAGAGCAAACCATTCAGAGGGAATGTCAATGCTATTGAGCTCAGAGGCAGGTGTCTGAGTGTGAGAATGAGAAAGAGAGTGATTGCTGTGCAAAGAGCTATGGAGGGAGGTGGGAGGAAGCTAATGTTGGGGTTTCCCCCTCCTTTTACTTGAGGATAAGTTGTTTCCTGCCACTGTTTGAAGTTACAAGACAGCATGCCCCCATAACACAGTTTCTCCCACCCATGTGTGCGCACACACTCCCTGTCACACCTCTCCTCTCCCTGCACTTCAGTTGAAAAGCAGTTGTCAGTGTAGTAGAATGACCACAGAGCATGGGACTGGGAAACCTGCCCCATGCAGCATTGAAAATCCTTCCCAAAGCACCCTATGGCCAGTTGCCTAATGGGATAACTACAACAATGCACTGTTCTCTGTGAAATTGCTAGAGCTGCTAATGTGGATATGTTCCACCGTCCCAACGATCACAGTGTGGACACACAACAGCTGTTTCCCTGCAGCGCTCTGTGAGCAACACTGTAACTTGCCAATGATGCCATCAACGGGAGCAAATGCTCCTGTCAGCTTCCCTTACTCTTTGCAACTGCAAGGAGTATCAGCGACGACTAGAGCTGCCCCTCAGTGTTTGATTTAGTGGGTCTTAACTAGAATGCCCGAAGATCGATCTCCAGCGTGGCAAGTGAAGACAAGGCCAGTGTAGACATACCCTGAGAACAGCAAAAGGAGCTCTTGTGCAGACTAGACTCAGTCAAGTCAAAGAAATGCTGTTTGTAGGTAAAATCAGTCTTTTCTATATGAGAAAATGTACCAGTTTAATTAAATTATGTTTTAAACTGATTTAGTTAAACCAATGCAAATCCCTGTCTGGGCACACTATCTCAATTTAATAAGCCTCTTTGAGTCATAATAAATCCGGTCTATGCAAAGGTTGGCTCTGGTTTAACTACATCAGTTTACATTCAGACTTTAGGCTAACCTACTGCAACTTTCTTCTGCAGATAAGCCTTTCACTAGTTAAATCTTACCCACATTAAAGCTAATGGTGATAGAAATGTAGCCGTGTTAGCCTGGTGTAGCTGAAACAAAAAACAGGACTACGTAGCACTGTAAAGACTAACAAGATGGTTTATTAGGTGATGAGCTTTCGTGGGCTCATTTTTATGTTCATTTTTTTTAATTGTATCCTTTGGTATATATGGTTGTGACAATTTTCTTCCACTATTTGATCTGAGGAAGTGGGTCTGGCCCACGAAAGCTCATCACCTATTAAACCATCTTGTTAGTCTTTAAAGTGCTACATAGTCCTGTTTTTTGTTAAAGCTAATGGAACCTTGAAACTTTCAGGCCAGGACAGAATACGGTCCACAGACTGAATGGCAATCCTAGTCCTACAGTACAGCAGTTTAGCATCTCCCTCATCAACATAACAGCACCAGGAATTTGAGATGGAGACAAAGCACAACTTCTTAAGAACACAAGACTGGCCATACTGGATCAGACCAAAAGTCCATCTAGTCTAGTATCCTGTTTTCTAGCAATGGCCAGTGCAAGCTGCCCCAGAAGGAATGAACAAAACAAGTAATCATCAAGTGATCCATCAGAGGCTAGGGCACCACCCCTATCCATTCTGGCTTGATGAATCTATCCTCCATGAGCATATCTAGGTCTTTTTGGAACCCTCTTATAGTCTTGACCTTCACAACATCCTCTAGCAAGGAATGCTACAGGTTGACAGTGCATTGTGTGAAGAAATGTTTCTTTTTTAATATTTTAAACCTGCTGCCTCTCAATTTCATTTGGTGACGGCTGCTTCTTATTTTACAGTAAAACCTGCACTATCTGGCACTTAACTATCCGGAAAACTTTAGAAACTGGCAAATTTCCTAGGGGCTTGGCGTGGCCACTTTGATCCGGCCAGCGCAAGGCTGAGCGTAGTCTCGCAGCACACAGCTTTGATCCGGCCAGCCAGGAGCTGGGCCGGTCAGCTGGCAGCCCCTGAGGCGCGGGGGTCATAGCTCCAAAAAGCACTTAAGTTGATGGAACCCTCAGATATCAAAAAATTCTGGTCAATCAGAATGTCCTAATCCCCTAGCGTGCTGGATAACTCAGGTTTTACTGTATAAGGAATAAAATAACACTTTCTTATTTATTTTCTCCACACCAGTCATGATTTTAGAGACCTCTATCATATCTCCCTTAATCATCTCTTTTCCAAGCTGAGAAATCCCAGTCTTATTAATCTCTCTTCATACAGAAGCCACTCCACCCCCTAATAATTTTTGTTGTCGTTTTCTGAACCTTTTCCAATTCCAATATATCTTTTTTTGAGATGGGACAACCATGGATTTATACAGAGGCAATATGATATTTTCTGTCTTCTTATCTATCCCTTTCTTGTTGTTTTCTGAACCTTTTCCAATTCCAATACAGTCTTATTAATCTCTCTTCATACAGAAGCCACTCCACCCCCTAATAATTTTTGTTGTCGTTTTCTGAACCTTTTCCAATTCCAATATATCTTTTTTTGAGATGGGACAACCATGGATTTATACAGAGGCAATATGATATTTTCTGTCTTCTTATCTATCCCTTTCTTGTTGTTTTCTGAACCTTTTCCAATTCCAATACAGGCAGTCCCCGGGTTACGTACAAGATAGGGACTGTAGGTTTGTTCTTAAGTTGAATCTGTATGTAAGTCAGAACTGGCGTCAGCCGCTGCT